CATAGAATGGCAGATGTCCTAAATAGCATTCTGGCCTCAGAATCAGCCCTTAAGGCATTCAGATATGACTGAAGAGCCCATGAGAGTATTTTAGGCATGGAAAGCCAAGACACTCTGGAAAAAAAATTTAAAAAAAGAAGACCTAAATGAAAGATCTGGGCGAGTGAGATCCCAGTGGAAAGAATGGGGCCATCAAAGAAGGAGGTACCTTTCTCTGAAGGGAGGAGAGAACTTACACTTTGACTATGACCCTGTCGGAATAAGATCGAAGTCGGTGAACTCAAAAGGCTTCCATAGCCTTGGCAACTCATGACAAGAGCCTAGGGAAATTACTGACGCCATAAACAAGAGTGTCAAATTGTTAAGTCAACAACAGGAGTCACTGTGTACTTACTTCTCATGTGGGATCTGTCCTTAATGTGTTGTCTAATGTGAAGTAATGCTATAACTAGTACTGAAACAGTATTTTACACTTTGTGTTTCTGTGTGGGTGCAAACTGATGAAATCTTTACTTAATATATACTAAATCGATCTTCTGTATGTAAAGATAATTGAAAATGAATCTTGATGTGAATGGAATGGGAGAGGGAGCAGGAGATGGGAGGGGTGCGAGTGGGAGGGAAATTATTGGGGGGAAAGCCATTGTAATCCATAAACTGTACTTTGGAAATTTATATTTACTAAATAAAAAATGTAATAAAAAAAACAAAAATAATAGCTTCTCAAAATTCATTTTATATTTTCCAAAACATAGGGGGAAAAAGTATTTAAAAGCAAATCCTGAGCACTGCTAATTAATAGGAAACAGAAAAGTGTTGAAAGAGACCAAGGATTGTTTTATATAATTCCTTTTCTCCCCAATGTCAATCATGGCTCATGCACTGGGTAGGCCTACTCTACCTGGGAGGGTTACCCAGAGGGAGCAGGTCATTGAAGAACACCATATCCATTGGCATTTTACCCTTTGTGAGAAGTTTCATGCAGATCAACGCTCACACAGGTTTATGTTCCCATAGCTGCATCTTCCAAAATGCCAGGGCAGAGAGCCAGACAAGTGATTAGAAATCAGAGAGCAGCCTCAGCTGAAAATATAGCCCCGTTTTAGTTCCCCAGTATTCCTAGAGCTATTTAAGTCCCTAGAAATCACAGGATATTTAGTGTGTTAGTAATGGCACTGGAAAGAAAAATGATATCTTAGGATACTTCTGAAAAAAGGACATCATCTTCCCCATTTCTATTGCTTTGAAGTAGTTCAGCCCCCACCTTAACACATACCAGCAAAGACATATTTCCTATTAATTTTCTCTAACTAAACCTACAAGAAAAAAATACAGGCAACATTGAATGTTTACACCTTGAAAAATCAAATTACAAAGTGCTATAATAAAATTGCACAATAGTATGCTTTTGCATATAAGCAGTCATTGACTCCCATTCTCTATACGGCCCTATTCCTGAACAGGATGGACAGGCTGAATCCTTTATTGGGGGACAAGAAGGGAGTAGGAGGGTGCAGCATTAGGCTGGGAGGTAACGGTCTTGTAATTGTTTCGGATGTTCCCAGTTTCCTTTACAGTCAGTTGCAAACATTGTGGTTTCACTATGTTCACTTCTGTGCTTATTGTGACAGTATACACTTGCTGCAAAAGTAGTTAAAATTAAAGAACCCTTTATTTTATGCCATTTAATTATTTATGCCATCACCATTGCCTTATGGTTGGTCATACTGTATTTTCAAGTAGAGAGTCACTTATATGAGCATTGTAATACCTGTATCCCCTGGACCTCTCCAGTGTTCTCCAGTTTTCTAACGTGTAAGATGGGACCATGTTAGAAGTACCTCTCTCTGGAGTTCAGTGAAGGAAATCAGTCACATCCTTCTGTTTGAAGGATGGTATAAAACACTTTCATGAATTTTTTACTAGGAATCCTGATCAAGTGTATTATTTGATACTTCTTTTGAGGGGCTAACATCTGGGCACCTCACAAAGCTCCATAATGACAGCTCTTCACCTCCAGCCACTCAGATTGTATGTGAGCCTCCTTCTACCTACCCCTCCACACCACATCACATTGTTCTTGAAGTTACAGAATGAGAGTATTTCCAGGACATCCTTTGGGATGTAGACAGGCTCAGCATATAGCCATGGTTACCACACTGTTCCAAATCAAATCTCTCTCAATGCTGTAGGATCCACACTATGGCAGGTACGCATAGCCACATGAAGGAAAATATAACACACGAGGTGAGGATCCAGGTACCAACAAGAGAGGTAAGAAGACACATTTAAGAGGGGTCAGAAGGAGACTCAGGGTTATGCAGAACTGCCTGGGTTTAAATTCGGGCTCTGTCACTCTCCATGTGTCTTTGGACAAATTTCTTAGGCTTCTGTATCTCACTCTCATAACCTTTAAAACAGAGTAATAATAATGCATGTCACATGAGGTTTTGTAGCAATTAATTAAAGTCCTTGGGACATCATTGAATTTCTCTAAGATTCTCTTATTATCATCATTATAGTCCTGGAGAGAAGAACTGAGCATCATGAAGTTTCCCCAACTGTGTTAGTTTCCTAGGGCTGCTATAACAAATAAGTCACAAATTGGGTAATCTGAAGCAACAGAGATGTATTGGCTCACAGTTTGCGTGTCCACAAGTCCAAAATCAAGGCATCCTCAGGGTTGATTCCTTCTGGAGTCTCTCGTACTATGGTTCTCTCTTAGCTCCTCATAGTTGCCAGAAATCCTAGGTGTTCCTTGGCTTATAGATGCATCACATCAGTCTACTTTCATCTACACTGTATCTACATGCCTTCTTTTCTTTTTTAAATCCCACTATAATCCAGTATGATCTCTTCTTGAACCTTAATGACATCTGTAAGACCATTTCTACAAATTAAGTCATATTCTGATGCTCCAGGTAGAATAGTAGAGGCAACGGTGTCCATACCACTACCACCAGTAAGAGCAGGTTGTGATCAACGTGGAGGAAGGCAGTGAGAGGAGTAATTCCCAGAAGAATGTCATCCAAACTTGGACTAGATGTTTATGGGTTAAAAAGGCTATGTTGGGTGAGTAATCAAAGAAGAAAAATGGATCAGCTACTCTCAAGGTCATCCCTGAGTCAGAACCAGCTATCAAATAGAGAGTTAATCAATGTGCCTCTGTTTAAACTGTGGAAAAATTTCTGGAGAAAATGTGAATGTACCCAACAGGGATGGACTGCACTCATCAGGGTATAGGTTATATGAGTAGAGAGCTCTCTGCCCTGTCTCTCTTGACATGCTGTGGGTCACTATTTAACCCTGAACTCTTTCTGACTCTGGGTCATCATGCAATACAAAGTGCATGGCCTCTGGAGCCTCAGGAACTGGATTACAATATCATGGTGTGCTGTTTACAAGCTCCACCTACCACTTTTGTGGCCTCAGACCAGGTACCCATCCTCTTTAAACTCTATTTCTGCTTAATGCCAGCAACAATAACTTGTAGTTTCTCTAAGTATGAAAACTAGGATTTGCCAAAGTTTCACCCAAGTACTAGGCATAGATTTCGATGAGTGGTTGCTGTTTGTCTTAGTCTGTTTGTGCTGCCATATCAAAACACCTGAGACTGTGTAATTTATAGAGAACAGAAATTTATTTCTCAGTTTAGGGGACTGGAAGTTCAAGATCAAGGCATCAGTGTTTTCTGTGTCTGATGAGGGCCTAGTCTCTGTTTCCAAGATGGTGCCGTGTTGCTGCATCCTCCAGTGGGGACAAATGCTATACCCTCACATTGGTGGAGGGGACAGCAGGGCCTAGATGTTTCCCTCGAGACATTTTATAAGGTCACTAAGTCCATTCATGAAGGACCTTAATCACCTCTCAAAGGCCCTACCTCTTAATACTATCATATTGGTAATTAAGCACCAACCTATGGATTTAGGGCAACAACTTCAGGCACTAGCATTATTGTTGCCATTGTCAGGTGGTTGATCCACCTCTCCCCTTTTTGGGCTTGAATGCCAAGAAGGCCATAGGGACCATGAAGAAGAGCTGTAAGGACCCATTTATCACTGTCTCTTCCCTCCACTGTCTCTTCTCTCCACTACGGAGATTGCGGCCATTGAAAGGTGAACCAACGGCAAAAGGAAGACCTTTCTCTCTGTCTCTCTCTCTCTCTCACTGTCCACTCTGCCTGTCAAAAAAAAAATTGATTTTTTTTTCTTTAGCAATATATAGTGACATCTTCGTGGCCATTCCTCCTCAACATGAATTTTAACAGCTTCCTAAATAATATTCCATTATATGAACCTACCAGTATTCACATAGCCCATTCCCATTACAGGAATTTAAATTGTTTTCAATGTTTTGTTACCGAAAATAAAGAAGTAATGATATGAGTTTATTTCTTGTCAATTTATAAATCCTTAATAATTTGGTATTTATTGTAAACCTTCCCCCTTTTTCCAAACATTGAAATTAACACAAAAGTTAATTTTTTCAGCTTTGGCTATATTCTTTTCAGGAAGTTCTTCCCTGGATTGCCTGGATGCAGTAACTCACTGATAATCAGCATTTTTGCCTCTGGCTTCCTAGCTCACTTGTTCAGGATGTAGGTCATTGGAGTTTTCTATATAAGGGGCCAGTTAGGGAAGTGTCAAAAGGCTGCTTCCCTGCCTCCAAACAGCTGTCACCTAAACCCCAGCTGTCAGTTTCCAAGGGCCTGGACAAAAGAGCGTCAGGGAATCAGTACAAATCCGTCACCACTACTGGAAAGACAGTATGTTGGCTTCATCTTCCCCAGGCTCAGAAAAGTATTCATCAAATCCCACAAAGCTGGTGAGGGTAGAAGAAAGAGAAAAATAATATTGGGAAAACAATTGGCTGACCTTACACATAACTCGGTTTGCAAGCTTAGGCTGCGAGTACCTCACTCTCACCCTGCGGGACAAAAGCAGCAACATGTTTTAAATTGCTGCTGGTGGCGTTATCTAACCAGCACTTTTCTCTTGCAGCTGACACAGCGCTTGGCACTGATGATGTGTATGATGAAAAAGGATGCCAGTGTGATGTATCAGTAGAAGACCTAACCCCACCACTTAAAACTGTCATTCGAGCTATCAGGTTGGTGAAAATCTCGAACAAAATGAGTCAGAGACACACCTATGATTATTTGAATTACTGTGTTCCAAAATCCTTTTTTTTTTTTTCTGAGTAAATCTCCTAGAATAACTACTTTCCCCTTTCCTATTCATCCACATGTCGATTAAACTGTGAGACATTTTCCTTAGTACAAAACTCTACTGTATTCAACACAAAGTATGTCATAAGAAGTGGGTGGGATTTGAATACCCAGGCTGTGCCCAAGGGATTACGTAAGGATTGACTTGTCATGTGTGCTTGTCACTTTAAGAACATTTCGTTTATTTATGCAATCGGATTTCTGAAATAATTTTATGACTTCATGCTCCAATCTATATTCTGTATTTTGTATCAAAGAAAACCTCTCCAGATTATTTTAAACGCATGATCAACTCTGAAAACAGGAAGTCCAAGTTGTCCGTGGTGACTTGATCCTATCTTCTGAAATGTAGCTGTTAAAGGCTGATCTAAAAGACCCGAAGCAACCAAAATGTGTAATTCCAAACATACACATCCACTCACACACACACACACACACACACCAAAATAAATTGATAATCTGAACTAAATGAACTGTTGCATGCTCAACCTGCCCTGGTTAATCACCATGGGAGAATTTGTATCTGTCAGGGAGTATTGGAGAGTGTATTGCCAAAAAAATACCTCTGGTCTTTTTGGCTCCCTCTGTCTACTAATAAAAATTCATAGCAAACTATAAAATACCCAAACCAATTTAGCTATCAAGGACCTAGGATTTATCTCAAGTGTATGATGTGTTCTTTTCTTCTGTCTTCAGTTGGTTATTTAGCATTGTGTTGGACATGGCTTTCCTCTATGATTGGGAGTCATTGGGAAAACAGGGACAGGTTACACAGATTTTGGTAAATGTTTGTAGAAGCAAAGAAAATTGTGTGTGATGAACATATTTGTACTCAGGAAGATACTTAACCAGAAGGGAAGAAAAGCCCAGCTACTTCTCAATGGAAGCCCTAGGGATGGGGAGACCATGCCTTCTCATTTGGCCTGGACAGCCCTAGATTATGACTGTTGCTCATCATTATTGTTAATAATACATCTTGTCTTTCTCAAAGTATTCCAGTTTTAACAATTATTTATATGGTTACCCTCCCCTTTGGTGATAAATATTTAAGCTCAGAAGGCCCCGAAAAGGTGATGAGATGATGTCTGAAGTTTTAATTAAAAGACAGAGAGGACCTTGAACTGCACTGTCCAGTACCATAGCCAGTGACCACCTAAGGGTATTTAAATTTGAACTGATTAAAACAAAATGAAATTTTAAATGCAATGAACTGATCACACTATATTTTAAGTGTTCACTAGCCACAGTGGCCAATGGTTGTTATATTGGACAAATGAGACATGGAATACTTGAATCACTGCAGAAACTTCTATTGCACACTACTGGTCTAAAAGTCACCTTGAAATCCTTTACATGCACTGATTATATCCATCCAAGACCCTAAAGCGAAGGTGGGGAATTCAGCCCACAAATTAATCTGACGTGCAATAAGTGTGGAAAATCTTATCTAGTGGAAGCAGATTAGGTTTCCTAAAAGTCATATTTAACCCAGCTTGTGTCATTTTCCAAGACTTTGTGAAGCTTTCTGCTTTTGCTTCACAACCTATAAAAAGGATTGGGAGCAGCAAGAAAGAAAATGAAATAGGTTTATTCTGCTAGCTAAGCACTTTAGTAACATAAGATTTACTTTGTTAAACCTTCCTCTTGAAACTTGGCTGATTTCTGTAGTCCTTTGCAGAATTTCCTTGCTTTTCAGAATTCTTTCTTGGTCCCATTTTTTTCCCTACATTCACAAGTACAACCCAATCTTAGTCCTTATTTTTGATAGAACTTTATTATTTACATGTCTGTCCTTTAGTGTTTTTTAATCACTTCTAAGCACCTTTTAAAACTATTGGATTCCTATAAAAACCTAATAGCTGGGGCTGGCGCTGTGGCACAGTAGGTTAATCCTCCGCCTGAAGCGCCAGCATCCCATTTGGGCACCAGTTCTAGTCCCAGCTGCTCCTCTTCTGATCCAGCTCTCTGCTGCAGTCTGGAAAAGCAGTGGAAGATGGCCCAAGTGCTTGGCCCCTGGACCATGTGAGAAACCCAGAAGAAGCTGCTTGCTCCTGGCTTCGGACGGGAACAGCTCCAGCCATCATAACCATTTGGGGAGTGAACCAGCAGTTGGAAGACTTCTCTCTGTCTTTCCCTCTCACTGTCTGTAACTCTACCTATCAAATAAATAAATAAAATATTTTTTAAAAAAACTAATAGCTACACTCAGTAGTTTAATAACTTAATTAGAAGTCTTTCACTCAGGATAGTACGTAATTTCTAAAGATGCATGATTAAATAAGCAACCAATACAATTAGCAATTCTGAAAAGAAGGTGCAGCTTAAGTCTCTATATCTTATGCAAAAGTGTCCTTATCCTGAGTTTAATTATGTAAATAAATTCAGTATTAGTTGACTGAACATTTTTTTTTTCAGAACATGCTCGCCTCTTGCAGTTCATCTGAAACAGTATTTTGTATGTCTATTTCCAATTGCAAGTGTGAGCCATCTATTATTCATCTCTAAAATAGCAACTTTGTTTTGGCATTTTTCTTGTTATTCTTTGGTTGTTAGAATATTGAACACTAATACTTGAATATGACTTTTGTATTTCAGTAGCTCTTATAATAATATTTTCTTATGAAAGTCAAATTAAAATGTGTAACAGAAACTGTGTATTCCATTGCAAAACTGACAGTACGGAAGAAAATATTACTATATTTACAAAGGGCAATGTAGCAATTCTTTATTTTCAATTCTGTGATTTTCTAGTTACTTTGGAGAGTAAAGATTCTCAAATGAGATTAGTAAGTCCACTTTCCGAACTTGCCTGGATTCTATTACCTAAATGCACTTTGAGTTTTTTTTAAATACCTGTCACTTTTTTAAAAAAGATTTATTTATTTGAAAGGCAGAGTTACATAGAGGCAGAGGCAGAGAGAGAGAGAGATCTTCCATCCACTGATTCACTCCCTAGATGGTCTTAATTGTCAGAATTGGTCAATCAGAAGCCAGGAGCCAGGAGCTTCTTCTGGATCTCCCACGAGGGTGCAGGTGCCCAAGGACTTGGGCCATCTTCTACTGCTTTCGCAGGCCACAGCAGAGAGCTGGATCAGAAGTGGAGCAGCCGGGACTGGAACCAGTGCCCATATAGGATGCGGCACTGTAGGTGGCAACTTTACCCACTACGGCATGGCACCAGCTCCCTACGTGCCACGTTTATAGTACATAGCGAACCATGACAATTCTTAGACTATTTCCAAAGTGTACCTTTTACTAAGAAGAAAGCTTAGTTTTATATATTTTCTCCAGGATTACCACAGATGTATCTCAAAATATCATTTCCTGGAAATGAGCAAATTTGCTGGAAATGTGTTGTCAAGCACACCTCTAGGAGTGGAGATTTTGCTTATTTTTAACAAAATCTATATCTTGTTAATGATTAGTTCAAATGATGCTAAGCTTCTTTTCATCCACTCATAAAAATTACTTTCTAAATGGAAAGATAAAATTAGCAGGAAAGTAAACAAATTGATAAACTCTAGAGCATTCTATACATTCACTTTTCTCTGTGTCCCTGTGTCCCTGGGTTCCAGTTTTGCTATCACTATCTGAAAAACATAGCCCACAAATTCCTGGATACATATTTTCAAAGTGTCAAGCATCTGGCTACTTGGGGATATCTGAAAAAACTACTATTGTCCATACGAATTTCCCTGCAAATATCACTCTCAAAAGTCACTCAATCCTTTCATGCTAGTAGTTGACATTGTAGACACTTCATTCAGTGTGAACCTTGGGCAAAATTTTGTGCAAAAGTTAATATATAAAATAGCTCATGGAAAATACACATTATCTTTTTTTTTTATCTTTTATTTAATGAATATAAATTTCCAAAGTACGACTCATGGGTTACAATGGCTTCCCCCCCATACCGTCCCTCCCACCCACAACCCTCCCCTTTCCCACTCCCTCTCCCCTTCCATTCATATCAAGATTCATTTTCGATTATCTTAATATACAGAAGATCAGCTTAGTATACCTTAAGTAAGGATTTCAACAGTTTGCTCCCACACAGAAACATAAAGTGAAAAATAATAGATGATTTTTTTAAATGATGATGAAATCAGATCAGACCTATTGTCATGTTTAATCCCAGTGAGAGTCAAGTTGGGAATTGACAATTTCTTCTTCTTTTTTTTTTTTTTTACAGAAGATCAGTTTAGTGTACATTAAGTAAAGATTTCAATTGTTTGCACCCCCATAGAAACACAAAGTGAAATATACTGTTTGAGTACTCGTTATAGCATTAAGCCTCAATGTACAGCACATTAAGGACAGAGATCCTACATGAGGAGCAAGTGCACAGTGACTCCTGTTGTTGACTTTACAAATTGACACTCCTGTTTATGGCATTAGTAATCTCCCTATGCACCAGTCATGAGTTTCCAAGGCTATGGAAGCCCCTTGAGTTCTCCGACTCTTATCTTGTTTAGACAAGGTCATAGTCAAAGTGGAGGTTCTCTCCTCCCTTCAGAGAAAGGCACCTCCCTCTTTGAAGACCTGTTCTTTCCACTGGGATCTCACTCACAGAGATCTTTTTGCCAGAGTGTCTTGGCTTTCCATGCCTGAAATACTCTCATGGGCTTTTCAGCCAGATCCGAGTGCCTTTAGGGCTGATTCTGAGGCCAGAGTGCTATTTAGGACATCTGCCATTCTATGAGTCTGCTGAGTATCTCACTTCCCATGTTGGATCACTCTCCCCTTTATTTATTCTATCGGTTAGTGTTAGCAGGTACTAGACTTGTTTATGTGCTCCCTTTGACTCTTAGTCCTTTCATTATGATCAATTGTGAACTGAAATTGATCACTTGGAATAGTGAGATGGCATTGGCACATGCCA